CACCAAGCTAGTCTTTTAAGAAAGCAATATCTTCTTCCTTGTCTTTCATTTTTCTCATTTTATCATTTAATATTTCCTCCAACATAACATGATGATGTTCTCCAATCCAAAATAATTTATTAATTTGCTCTTCAAATAAATGTCTTTCATTTACTTCAGCAAAGTTTGTTCTGTATCGTTAATCTTTTAATTTCATCTACTCCTTCAACAATTTCTCAATTTTTATCTTGGAAAAATATTAACAGTATAAAAGGTTATGGATTAAAATGATTTAAAACTCATTGAAGAAAATTACCTTTTGTATTGTTAACACTTTAAACCTTCAAGTATCTACTTATGGTTCTAAGTTTGGATCGATCAAACGCACAACCAGGCACAAAAGAAGAACTTTTAGTAGGATAGAAAGAGGACAGAATTAATATTCAATTATCTCTTTAGCAGTTACAAATTTCTTTGCTGAAAGTTTTTTAAATAATTTTTTAACTAAAAATATTTTATCCTATCTAATCCTTAAAAAAAAATCCAAAAAATAAATTTATTGTAAAATTAAAAAAAATTGTTATAAAAACATATTATTTACTGAAAAAATCTAAAACTTTATCCAAAAAAAAAAAAAAAGTGTTCGGTATAAAAATATTTTTATTTGTTAAATGCTTAAAGATAATAGGGTTTTTTGAAATAAATTTTATAAGATAACATTTTTTTTAAAAAATAGAGTTCATTTTATTTAGAATAAATAAGTTTTTACAAACATAAATATATTTTAAAAAAATCCAAAATTTTAATGTTAAGATTTTCTACAAATAGTTTTAAAAATGGTACAAAACGCCCATAAAATTTCCCCTTTTTGCCCCCTGAAGGGACCCTTAGATATTTCAAAAGTTAAAAAAAAGAAAGATCTTTAGTACTATATCATGGTCTGGACAGATAAATAAGTTCAATTTCTCTTGGTTGTAAAAAAAGGTCACCTCGCAATTCAAATTATATTTTGTCATTTATTTAATCTTGTTACTGCTACTACTAATACATGTGGCTTTCCTGCAAATCATTTAAAACTTTTATAGATTAGAAGTGTTTAGAACTTTAGAACATTCTGGAAAATAATAGAATATTTTAGAAGACTTTAGAACATTCTAGAACAATTTAAATCATTCTGGAACAATTTAGAACATTCTAGAACAATTTTAAATATTTTAGAACATTATAGAACAATTTAGAAAATTCTGGAATATTCTAGAACATTTTAGATTATATATAGCTGCTCATATAATTTTATAGTTATTACAGAAGCAACACATGGCATCGTGCAAGCCTAGCGATAGTAGCATTCAGAAGAACAAGGATGTGTGGACCAATAATCTGGTAAAATTTGAAGACTCTCATAAAAGAAAAAGAATGAAATCTCTTTGGAAGAATATTCACTGGAAAAAAAGTGCAGAATGGCTCTCCAAAAGCAAATTATCGGATGCTACTATTTCCTTGAACCAAAAATCAAAGGAAGAAAGGAGCGAATAGCAGAAATTTCCAAAGAAGTCACCCAAATTGTGGAAGATTAAACTGAATTTTCCTCATGTATCTGATCAAGTAATAAGAGCAAAGCTTGATAAAATACTGAAATGTTATGATGAATCTATCAAGCAGGGAAGCTAAAAACCCCTTGATGAAACTTTTGATATTACTAAAGAGGATGGAACATGGATATCTTCCGAGGACAAGCGATTGTACCATCTCTAAGTGGAAAAGGAACAGTAGGATACTCTACAGGCCAAGCGGCCAGTAAAGAAATGATCTATCCCTCTAAAAGGCAAAAACTTTCTAATGAGTCATCCAACTCATCATCTTACTATCCTGGTTTTAGTGATTTTGACTCTGAGGCTAACGACAGCGAATATGAAAACAATGAAGAAGAAGATGAGACAACTCCTACACCAAGCAGAAAACATCATAAAAGCAAAATTGCAGTCAACTTGGTGACCTCCACAAAAGTATCAACACACAAAGCTGCTAACATATGCAAGCAATTGGCTCGTGAAGCATTGACATCCCAATTCCCAATCAGCTGTTTACAAGTCAACAATCAAAGAGGCAATCAAGCTGAAGGAAGAAATGGTTGAAAAGTTGCATATGGAAAGTTGGTCCTTACACTTTGATGGCAAGTACATCGGCAGAATGGATTATCAAGTGGTCGTCCTTAAAAATGAAAAAAGAGAAATCAAGTTGGATATCCTTGGCTTAATAGATGGCAGGGCTTCAACTATTGCTCAAGAAATTTCTAAAGTCCTCAATGAATTTCACCTATGGAATTCAATACATTGCTGTATACGCTGGTGGTATCTGCAACAATACATGATTGTTGCAGATACCACCAGCGCTAACTTTGGAAGAAAGAATGGTGTTGTTGTAATATTCCAATGAATATTCACAGAGAAAGGCATCAACAAACCTCAGTTTATCAGTTGTCAACACCATGTATTAGATAGAATCCTCCGTTTGGTGATGGATGAAGAACTTGGAAGTAAAACACAATCGCCAAACATCAAATATCCATTTGTATCTCAACTGTTGAAGGAGTACGAACAACTGAAAACACAGTTTGATAAAGAAACAGAAGTAATTCTCGAAACATCAGGCTGGAGAAATGATATGAAATTTTTGTTTTATTTCACTCGAGTGTTCTGATTTTTTGAGGAAAATGGACATTTTCCATTGATCAGGTTCCAGAAAATACCCAACATCAGCAATGCAAGGTGGAACTCCAGAGCTATACTAGTGATCCTGGACTTCATTTTAATTCCTTCAACAAGGACAGTTCTGCAGAGAGTCGATTTATATCGTATGGCTGGGCAGACCATTGGTTTACAGATCAACTGTACAACAAAACTTTACTAACTTGGCTGAAATACTGAATCCATACAAAAAGGCTTGAAATTCTTTGAAAAATCACTGGAAGCGAGAGCCATCCATACTACAGATACCCAGAAGTAATCAATGCACAGAGGGTGCAATCAAAGTAATGGAGGAAATTTAATCATCATGCAAAAAAAATAAAGACAAATTGCACCTTCGATTCCTTCTGTGCAACAATCAAGAGCAAGGTGTGAGTCATTGTTGGATTGAAAATTTATTATATACATACATATATATATATGTATGTATTAATATATACATACATATATATATTACATACATACATATATATATATATATATATATATATATATATATATATATATATATATATATATATATATATACTTACATACATACATACATAAATACATACATATACATACATACATACATATATACATACATACATACATACATACATACATACATACATACATACATACATACATACATACATACATACATACATACATACATACATACATACCTATGTATGTATGTATGTATGTATGTATGTATGTATGTATGTATGTATGTATGTATGTATGTATGTATGTATGTATGTATGTATGTATGTATGTATGAGGGCAATATATATATATATATATATATATATATATATATATATATATATATATATATATATATATATATATATATATATATATATATATATATATATATATATATATATATATATATATATATATATATATATATATATATATATAGCCCTCAGAATTAGGGTCAGCATTCAGCAATGCCAACTTAACCTGCCGAACTAGAAGTGTTTTAAAAATTGCTGACCTCGTTTCTATGTTTCACTGTTAAACCTTTGTATCAAATTTTTTTTGCCAACCTGATGGCATCCTCTTACAAACTAAGGTTGGCAAATTCTTGCCGACCTCATTTATCCTAATTCCGAGGGCTGTATATGTGTGAATTCTTTGGCTATTCTTTTATTTGCTTTTGTTTAACACCTTTACACATCTTACACCTCTTACACCTTTTTTTTTACACCTTTTTATCTAATCTATTTTCTCTTTGTATATTACCATTTTCAATATTCACTGAACTGCACTCTTTTCTGTTTTGTTTTTGATTAAATAGGATAAACCCTTTTTTTCAGATCTAACCCAGACCCTTTCAAATCTGTCAATATTTTTAATACTCATTAATTTGAACAGTTCAGCTCTAGTGACTTTGTTTGCACTATGGCTCAAAATTCATGCTATTTCTAAACCTGTTAACAAAATCAACTTACCTTAGCTATACTTTCTGACATGTTTTCCAGACATCACTAATCACTTGTTTGGGAGGGACAGAGAGAAAACACAAGTCAAATGTTTTTTGATTTGTGTTTTCTCTCTGTCCCTACCTTGTGCTCAGTTTTTTTTCTCTGTGTCGTTTAGGTGTTTTAGACCATGCTATAACTAATTGAAAAAGTATTCTCATTTTTCTACATCAGATGCTGCATCAGTTTTGATAACCTTGAGGTTGATTTTATATTATTTTGCAAGTTAATTGCATGGTTTTCTTTGCACAGATGCTGTTTGCAATTGGAATATTTTCCCCCATTTTTTTACAGTCAAATATTTTTTTATAACTGAGAGAAATGCAAAATATTGTTTAATGGTTTACCCCATAATATTTAGATTATAGAATGGTGTGTTTTATCTGAGCAGTTAAACTATAGAGACTTTGCAGAGTGTGTTTAATCATATCATTAACATAGTTAATTCTTATATTTTAGATCTTATATTTTGAAAATAATTTAAAACAAATAATTTATGAAATGTTCACTTATTGTATTTGTGACATTTTAAAGGTTTTTGTTACTTTTATCAATAATAGCAATAAACATGGTAGTGATGTAACCATAGTGATGTAGTGGTATAGCGCTTGCTTTGTAAGCTAGAAATTTTATGTTCAAGGGAGGTGAATACTACTGACACGTTCAAAAATGTGACAGTATTATATATAATATTCTTTAAGTTTTTAAATTATTAAAATTTTGCAGATTCAGTTTTGTTAAAATATTATTATTATTTTAATAATAAATTTGTTACACAACTTAAATTTTTTTACAGGGAAAATTGATGAAGTTCTTTGCTCAGCAGGTGGTAGCTAAAATAAACTTTGGTCCAAGTATTGTGCAAATCCAAAAAGAAATTTGTAATTACCCTCAGCTGCATCAGTTTTTGTTTGTTGTTGACATTGATGGAAATATGATTAATGTAATCTTTTGTATTAATGTTTAAGGGATTCTGAGATGCCTAGAAATGTTGTTATCATTTCACTAAAAATGAATAGAAGCTGTTCTAAATTACTTTTTTAGTTTATCAAAAATTATTTTTTTTTTTTAATTTATAAAAAATTATTATTTTTTTAGTTTATCAAAAATTATTATTTTTTTATAAACCAATAAAAGTAAAAGTAGTTTTTAAAGTTATATAATATTAAAAAAAAAAAATTTATAAAAAGTATGTTTTATAAAAAGTATAATATATTAAAAAAAGCAACATAAAGCTTCTTTTCTGGAAAAAATGCTATTTTTAAGTATTAAGGAAATAAATTTTTTACTTCAATTAAATATTTAGAATATCAAATTATTAATAATATATTAAAGATATAATGAGTAAAGTAAACTTTAAAATAGTTAATTCACAACTTACAATTATGGTTAAGACAACTTATTTGTGAAAGTTGTGTAAACAACAGCTTAAATGTGAAATTGCTTAAATGTGAACTATATTACTTTATAATTTTTTTTTTTTAAATCTATTGTTGTTAAAATTGATAAAAAATTTTTAATATACTTAGTTTAAAAAAAAGTTTTAATAGTGGTATAAAATTATTTTAATGTTTTAATTATGAATACATATTTTAATTATTCATTAAAAGATAATTTAAAAGTAAATAATAATAAAAAAAGATAATAGCCAATTTAAAAGTAAATGTAGTGGCAGACAGATTCTTTTATCAAAGTTTTTTTTTTATCAAATAAAAATATTCAACAGTTAGTTCAATAACTTCTTTTCCAATGTTTTATTATGAAGACAACATTCTCTGTACTTCAGGATTACTTTAGCTTTTTCTTTATTTTATTTGTGATTTTGTGAATTTATCTGCTTTTTTTGTTTGTTTGTTTGTGATCTATTAACTGTTTAAATTTTGTTGCAATTATTAAGTTCAAATTTAATACAAAAATGGAGTAAGGCAAATTTTGAAAAATGATTAACAGATGACTTTTTAAGCTGAAAGTTTATAGTTAGACATACATAATAAGACCATACAAAGAATTTCAAAATAGAATTTGTTAATATGTTAGTAATATATGTTATATATGAATATGTTAATATGTTAATATGTCATTTATTTTAAAATTCATTAATTGAATGAGTTTTAGGTGGCAGTTTAAAAAAAAATAAAAAAGACTTAGCTAGAGGTCAAACTTTTTCTTTAAATATTTTTTTTGTTTAAATATTTTTTTTGTTTAAATATTTTATTTGTTTAAATTTTTTTTTTTGTTTGAATATTTTATTTGTTTAAATCTTTTATTTGTTCAAATTTTTTATTTATTTAAATATTTTACTCAAATACTTTTTTTAAATAAATATATTTTTAAAATGTTTAAGTATTTAATTTATTTGAATATTTTTTTCATTACCTAAAATCAGTTTAGTTAGAAATCAAAGTTGTTTAGGTTAAACTATAAAATTTATTATGATAGTGGGTGCATAAAATTTATCATGATAGTGGGTGCATAAAATTAGACATAAAAAGCTAAGGTTTAATCACAACCTTAATGTTGCTTTGCCCTCAATTAGCGAAAAGATACTTTTAACTTCATGCTTAATCCATTGCTGAACTAGTTAAGACAAAAGTTGATAATTGTGTTTACAGAGATCTTTTTTTCCTGTTAAATTTGATGTAGTCTGAGAGATATAAAAATTTGATGTAGTCTGAGAGAAATAAAAGTTTGATGTAGTCTGAGAGATATAAAAGTGATCTTATTGATGCAATGAATGAATTTAAGATGTTGTACTTGGGCACCTTTTGTCATAAAAAAATCTTTTCAAATAAGTTTTAATAGATTAATAGTCTAAAGTAAAAACAAAATAATTTAGTAAAATTTTTTTAAATAATTTGTAATTATTCATGTAGCATACATTAAAAATTAAAATCAATTTAGTTTGTTAGTATGTCATTTGTATATATATGCCTTAATGCAGTATTTGTTTGTTTGTCTTTAGAAATTACTTGTGTTAATCATTAGTTGAAATGTTTCTGGTCTCTAATGTTAACTATAGTTCATTAGTCCAGTTTTTTCTATCAAAAACTTCATTATAAAATAAATATGTTTTTATCATTCATCGACTTCTGCCTTTAAAGCAAGTAAACATGTTTTTGCTTGTTATACACAATTTTTTTTTAAAAAAAGATTTAAAAAGTGGATTAATAATGATAAATGTCCAAATTCGAGATTTCAACATTTATAAAGAACTTCAAGAAAAGAAATTCAAAGCTCTTGACGCTTTAGTAAAGGACTTACTGAAGCGAAATGAACTCTTAGAGAAGCGTATATCTGAACTAGAAAAATAAATAATCAAAGTTCTAAAGTTTTGTTTAGCAGTCTTTTTACTGATAATAAACCAAAGATGAATGAGCAAGAGGCAATATTTTGCTGTCTCTGTTGAAACATTGGAAAGAGCAAAAAAAGAAAAAATTTGTTATTTTTTGGTATTAATGAATCGAAAAAAACAGATGCAAACAAAAAAAAAGACGACAATAAAAACGCAATTAATGAAATGTTTACAGCACTTAACAATGATAATGAGAAAATTACGCGTCATAATCGTTTTTATTCAAAAAATGAACAGCCAGGAATTATAATTGTCGAAATTAACAATAAACATTCTGCTCAAAAAATAATTAAAGAAGCTAGCAAATTGAGTAAAATTGATGAATATAGAAATAAAGTTTATATTAATCCTGACCTCACCTTAGCGCAACGAGAAAGCAAAGAATTATTAATCGCGGAAAGAAATAAATTAAATAATAATCAAACCAAAAATCGGTCCTTTCGATTCATCATTAAAGATGAGAAAATTATCAAAATTAAAATTATATATAAAATAATAAATTATATATAAAATAATAAAAAATAAATAAATTATAAATAAAATAAAAATGACTAACCAAAATTAAAATTTTTTTAAAAGAAATGTAAAAATTAACAAGTACAACATCAGTAACAATAATAATAATAACAATTATACTTAAAGCAATGGTTTTGAATCTTCAAAGTTCAAGGTTTATCCTGATAATGGTAACATGCAATCCAGTACAATCTGCTTCATGTCCTGCTGCCTTGTAGGAAACGCCTTTTTAGGCAAAGACTAGGAGATGCCAACTCCGACATGAAACACCCCCTGCCTTGGGGTTCTTGGTTGAGTAAAGGCTAGAGATAGTGTCTTGATAAAAATACTCATCTTGGGCAGATGTTATATGCATCCGGCTGCTGTCTTGTAGAAGGCCTCCTAGGCAAAGACTTAAGGGGTAAACAGATTCAATCTGTTGACCAGCCTCGCACCCCTTCTTCATCTATTAGGCTGGCGCAGATGTATTTTTAATACATTATTTCCAGATTAGGATGTTAAATGCTAAATCTTCTTGACTTGATGCATGGGTTTTGCTTGGATCTCTGTTTTTATGACTAGCCAACTTATTCTATAAATTCTATTATTTTAGAGCTTTACCCTCATTCTCCTAATGAGGGTAAAGCTCTAAAACTCAGTTTTATGGGTCTGTGGCCGGCTGGTACACAGGTTTTCTGAACTCTGTGGTAGATTTCAGAGAGGCTGATTCTATCTACAGCTGAAAAATATCAAAGTATTAACAGTGCCATGTTGCGCATAGATGGTGTCTCTGTTTGTACTTTTGATGTGCATTGCCAAGGCCACATTGAAGCCCTTTGTTACATCTTAGGGTTTATTAATAGTAATAAGGCAATAGCTTAGGCTATAAAACAGTGTACTGAGTACTATCTATCTTTCGAGTCTAGTTCTTTACCAAATTTAAATGTGAATAAAGTAACGAAAACTATAAAACACAAAAAACCACTGTCATCATGAAGTTCGCTAAACCTATCATTCACTAATATTCGTGGTCTTCGAAGTAACTTTTCTTCGTTGAGCCTTATCTCTTCCAAAGTTCACCTGACCTACTTGCTCTTTGTGAGACTAATTTGAGTTCAGCTGTCTCATCTTTTGATCTTAGCGTTGATGATTATCTTCCTTTAATTCGTAAAGACTCCAATAGTCACATGCTCGGCCTGGGCATTTACATTCTTAAGAATTCACCCATTTGTTGGGAAACTAGGTTTGAATCTAAAGACTACTCTTTTATGCGCTTTTCGTTTAGTACCACTTCACTCTATCACCTTTCTCTTTGTTCTATATCGCTCTCCTTCATCTCAAGACTGCACTCTTGATGTTATTTCTGATCATATTGACCAAGCCTTCTCTCTTTATCCATCAGCCAATATTGTTGTTGTCGGTGACTTTAATGTTCATCACACAGAATGGCTTGGCTTTAGTGTCAGTGACTCTGCAGGAATTAAAGCTCACAACTTTTCCCTTTCTCAATCCCTAACTCAAATAGTCAAGTTTCCAACTCGCTTTCCAGACAACCCGAATCATTTACCTTCTCTACTCGACTTATGTCTTGTTTCTGATCCTAGTCAGTGTTCAGTTTCTCCACATTCACCCTTAGGTTCCTCTGATCACAGTTTGATCTCTCTAAAACTTTTATCTCGTTCTTCTTTATCATCAGAATCCCCCTATCATCGTACATCTTACAACTACCTTAAAGCTGACTGGGACTCTTTCCGTAATTTTCTTCCTGATGGTCCTTGGGTAGAAATCTTTTGTCTTCCTGAAAAAACAAATATGCTTCTTACATAACTTCAAGGATTCAGGCTAGCATGGAATCCTTCCCTCTCGGCGATTCCAGGTCAAGCCTCACTCTTCATCATGGTTTTCCTCACATTGTGCTGCTGCAATTGCCAATCGAAACCATTACTTCCATATCTATCAGCAAAACAATTCTCCAGAAAACAGGCGTCTATTTATTACTGCTAGGAACCATTGTAAAAAGGTTTTGTCTAATGCCAAAGCCTGCTATTCTTAGGTCATGAAATCTTGTATCTCATCACAAAAATTAGGCTCCTGTG